CTGTTAGTTTCACTCATCTCTGTAGTTTCACTGTGGTTTTCTTTTCCCTATTTGTGGATGAAACTCAGCTGTCATCTGGAACATGTGTCATTTATCTCTTGCACAGAAAGGACGGTCTAGTCACTGAGAAACCAGGAATCTTAAAGAAATATGTACACTCTACAGACCTTAAATCACTGCCTGTCATTTGGATCCAATTCAAAGAACAATTTCACACAGAATAGAACCTACTGAACTCAAATGAAACATTCAAAGTAGTCAGCTTGTGTCTCTTGAATATTTTCAGCCTTTGTAAGGGGATTCCTTCTTAGACATAGTTCCACACATTAAAAGTAATGCTGACCTAACTTACCCCCCATACCCATTAAGAGAGGAGATGGGGTAAAGTTGACTTCTTAAGAAATTAGTTATTGCAATGTGAAACAAAACTGCCAGATGGACTGTCACAGACTAATTGGTCAAATACATTTAGAGTTAAAAGGTCTTGACAACTTCTGAGTTCACGTCCAAGGATAATAGAGCCACCTACTGGTCAATTCCATCAGCAGTCAATCCAGGTAGTTACATATGAAAACAAGCAGCTGTGGGTGGGCAGTGAATTTCTAGTGCATGCAGAACCAGGTAGATACACTCCCTCATTCTGTCCAACACAGGGAACAGTAGGCAGTTATGCAAAAAGACACTGACCTGGAGTAGTGCAGGTGAGGTAGCAGCAGGTATGCAAAGATGCAGAGAAGGATGAAGACATCAGCAGTCAGGAAGTACGCCAGTGCGCTGTCTGTGATATCATGGGCTGCTGCCAGGTCAATCAATGAGGCCACTGCACTGAGAGTACCACCCATCGCCTGGCCTGAGAGAGAGAGACGGAGAGGGAGAGAGAGTGGCAGAGTGAGGGAGGCAGAGGCAAAGCACAACATTCAAACAGAGGGAAAAGGAGAGGCAGAAGTATGAAGTATGTAAGAGATACATAACAGAACAAGAGGGAGGAAGTGTGAGAGGAGAGAGGTGTGACAGAGAAAGAAGTGCAAGAGTGTGAAAGCATGAAAGAGAAAAACCAGCTGCAAACAGCTCTGACAGACTTTTTTTACACGCTCAACAGGAACACCTCATTAATGTAGCTACTTATACTGTCACAACATCCTGAAGCATTTCACACTGACAGTCACTCGCCAAAGCCAAACTCGAGAGAGCTTCAACTCAGAAGAGACTATGCAGGAGACTCAATGTTTCTGTTACGGTGCAGGTCGGGAGCCTATGAAGGAACTCTGTTTCAGGGAAAGTAAGAGAACAATAGGATGTGGCAGATGATTGTGTAAAAACGCTTACAGGCAGGGTCACATGACCTGCCGTCAGTAACCCTGGTAACACCAGTTGGACAAGTTGTAGTCTTAGTGCCTGTCAGGCAATGCTACAAGGGGAAAACACATTATTCTGGAGCATCAGAAAAATGGGGCATGACCTGGGCTTATTAGAGGGGTATTCTGGGATGAAAAGAGGCTTCGCTGTAACTCTCTGTCAGAAAATTGATTTTATCCTGCTCAGTTTAATCCTGCTCACCTGCAACCCATCTGGGAGTTTGATATTTCTAACAGGGCCTTGATTTAGCCTCAGCAAGTGTTCTACTGCATGTTTAATTAATGTCTGACATACAGTTTTATTTTGAATAAACTATGCTACCTTTCTTTACAACTGCTTTGACGTCCTGTGTTGGAGTTGTTCTACAGCCTGTGTGACTGCCAATAGAGATTACTTTTATACAAGCTCCTTGATGGCAAGGAATTCAAGAGAGATACACAATTATAACAGGTGACACCTTCTCAATCGACAAAACAGACCAGTAAGTTAGTGTGTTTTTCTGACTAAAAATCTAAAGCACGCGGCCCTCACCAACTCCAGTAGGGCGTCACCCACAGCAGTGTTTGTCTCTTTATCACCACAAAGTAAACAAAGTCAACACTCCATGAAAAGATGCTTTACTTAAATGGCTATTATCAGAAAGGCAGAGGTCAGATCAGCAAGACAACTTGTGTATTCCAAGCCTCTATCAGTGCAATAGAAAAGAAATCACATAGACCTAAGTATAGAACAGGTGTCACTTCATTAATCGCCACTTGCCAATTGCCAATTGCCAATTGCCAATCACTTAAATCATTTAAAATGCAGCAAACAGACTGTATAGGAGCATTGACTTTCATCATTTTTCCATTAAGTATTTTTAAGTTTCACCATCCACAAAAGGTTCCACCAGTAGAGTTTATTAATGTTATTTCTGGTGGGTAATTTACTGTACAGCTCCAGTGGAATGAGAACATGGACACCCTGTGAGCCTCAAGCAGAGAACCAGTGTAGAGAACCCGAGATCTACAGCTGCATTCTACTGGTCCCAATCTCAGCTGCCCTGCTGCCTGACCATTTACCCCTTTGCCCACCCGCCCCCTAGGCTCAGTCCTTTAGTGTGTTACCGGAAATGAGAGCCTGCGAGATCCTCATGGGGAAGCGGCCAGTCACTCCGAACACACTGCCGGTGAAGATGTTGGAGGTGCCACTGACCACAGCCACACTGACCAGGGTGACCACAAAGAACTCCTCCCGCCGCTCTGTGGTGTCTATCTTCACCAGCACTGTCGTCACCATGAACACCAGCAGGATCACCGCCAGGGAGCTGAGCACACGCACTGCAGGGGACACTCTGACACCAGGGAGGGGTGGAGGGGGACAGGGAGAGAGGGGTCTGACTGCTTTGTCTGCACCATGTAAAGGCGAGATAGTGGTGGAGAGAATCCAAGACTAAGGAGGCTCCACTGCCGTTTGCACAGAGTGTGTGAGATGCAAACAAAGATGTGACTACAGAGAGAGAGAACATACACAATTGTTTGAGAGAGAGATTTCTGTGACTCTCTCATTGTATTTGCAAAGGAACAGAACAACAAGCTAACTAATACAACAGCACAGCGCTTATGTCGCTCTATGTGTGGAATTTTAAAACGACATATTAGTGCTCGGTTTTAGCAGAAACATGTCATTTTAAATTTTGAATAAATAAAGTGACAAACATCTAGAGGGTCCATACTTGTTGACCAGGAGAAAGTTGAGCACTAGGCAGAGTACTGATGGCACAGTGGAGGCGATGGACAGGTAGCTCTCAAAGTAATCCTGAAAAACAAGAGCACACTGTTACAGAACCAGGCTCATTCCCCTTCAAGCAACTTTCTGTTCTTTACCGCACATCAGAGTCATGCAAGGAAAAAAGGACCTACAATTTTTAGCAAATTAAACCACAGGAAAAACAGCTTAGAGGTAACAAGTTCCGTAGTCAACACAATTCCACAACAGATCTTCTCTACAAGGACAAAACCAGGATTAAACAGTCTTGCAAAAAAGTATATGGGAAACCTGCTTTACTGTGAACACATGCTGGGTGACTGTGAGAAAACCTAGGTGGAGTGTTCTTATTGGATATCATGTGTAAATAACTAACACAGATCAAGCACTCTTTAACTTAATAAACAAGGTCTGTTAGATTAGCTGTGATTTTAAGAGCGCATACTGTTCTTCAGAATCATAAGATCTGCCTGGCATGGAGCTGATAGAACCCTGCTCACAGAAAATAATGAGACTCTGTTCAACAGATAGCACAAGATCCAGCTCCAGTGTGCCTGCACAGGGATGACCTGAGGTAACTGGCAGGCAGGTTATAAAATACAAGCATAACAGAATCCCCACAGCTCTCTTGAGAAATCATTCCATGAAACAATAAGTCATATTTTAGACAAGCCAGTAAAGACACAGACTTCTGACTTGACTGGTGGCCAATTCAAAGAGTGTGCATGATGATGAGATGCACACAGTCAAAGTGCATAGGAGAGAAAGAGGAACCCCAGCACCTCTTACTTCAGGTTTTCTATCAGGAGAGAGATCTGAATAAGACTACAGCTGCATTATACTCAACACTACCATGTCTATGGAATAAATATCTTTCTTCAGCAGAAGAATGTGCTTCATGCAAAGGGATAAGATACCTGACACTGCTGTTTGAGTGCGCTCAGTTTTAGGAGTTTTGTCTCTTGTATATATATCTATCCTCCATGTCAAAACACTCTATTAATGGAAGTTCACTCACACTAAGGTTAGAGCGAGGCACCTGGCCATCTGTTTGCCCAGAGGCATTTGTCAGCTTGTAAACCCAGTAGTGTTTGGCTGTGATAAAGAAGTTCCAGGGCAGCAGGGAACCCACTCCCAGCAAGAAGAAGATAGCATAGACCAGGTTGTAGGAGTCATGCGGCCGTTGTGTGCCAGGAAACCGGGGGCTGGCTTCAGCCTCACTAGGAAGCAGGGGATCCTGATCGTCATCCAGGGACTCTGCTGCATTCAGGTAGGATGAGTTCACACTGGCCTGCAGTGTCTCTGATCCCTCCATCCTCAAAAAGAGAGTGGAAAGGCTGTCCTGTCAGCACTGAACACCACCACCTGCCACAGACAGCACAAATAAAACATCCAACTAAAATCCAAAACTAGCACAAATAATGAGACCTTCCGATGCATTTCTATATACTGTATACACTGTTCACAAAACAGAACATAATGAAGTCACTGATTTCACCAAAGACCTGTATTGAATTCAATGGCTCTTTAATTAAAGCCACTGTCCATCTGAAGCAGATGCTCAAATGGATAAACAATTGTTTTATCCAGTTCTGTTAAGACTGCCAACTGTAATTTGCATTCTCCAGCCATGGTCTTTCACCCACCTCAGGTGGATGTACGAGTCCTGCACCTCTCCACTTTTTAGGTGACGTGCAGGGAGTGATGAGGTATAGCCTCTCCTGCCTCAGAGACCCATTCTGGATTAAATGGGTCAACACAGCACAGAGTCAGCAGGACCTCGTTACTATCGACCTGCATAATTTTAAAAAACGGGCTGCTTAATACTGCCTCCGTTCCTTATGTGGAACACTTACTTTAAATGCTGTTCTCTTTCATGTTGTGCAGAAAATTTCTGCCTCAGGCTCTTCATCAAATGTATGAAGTAAAAACACCATTCAGAAATATTGGACAGGGCATTGTATATAGGGCAAGTCTGGAATGAGAACCAACAGCTGTGTGTTGTACAGTTCCAGATTTTCTAATAAGCACATTCTGATGCTTTTCACAGAAAGTGATTTTAGTTATTCATAAATAACTTTCTCTTCACATTTGAAAAATAAGCTCTGATACTCATCACAGAAACAAAGTGCTTTTAGTTCATTTCTGCCACTGCCCTTCCAGGCAAGAATTTACAAAAAAGGAAGCAGGTCTGAACTGTCAAGAAGCATTGGATATTGATCTCCACTGACATCTTCATTGGCAGATATTGCAAAGCACCACTAATCCTGCAGAATTCTGAGATGACAAACATAGATGAAAAAATTATTATATTTTACAATAACTCGATTTCGATTCAAATGCACATTGACTTACAATATTACGATCTTCTCAGTAGGCTTTAAAAGAAAATAATGTAACTACGGTTAAAGCACTAAGGTTTATGTTTTAAAATTAGGGTAATGTAGTAAAACTTTTTAAATTGATAATATATGACATAAGCACAGTATACGTCTTGTCGAAATGTAACTTCACATTTATTGACCTGATCTGGCTGTACGTTTTAAACGAATGTGTCAAAGTGAGGAAAGATCAGCCTTTCACCTTCGAGCACAGCGAGACGCATACCGTACGAGAGCCTCTCAGGGGCTCGAGTAAATCAGTTTACAGTACACAGAAACCGCTAATGTGATTCTGGTTGTTTACAGATTGGCACTTTCATACCCTTTAAATTGGAATTAAATTAGTGCTAATTTGCGGGTATTTAACAGCTTTTCTCACAGATTATGAACAAGAACAGCAGGCCTTGGACTCGAAAACAGGGAAATGTAGTTCACCTCAAGAGCACACGAAAACGTTGTTCCTGGAAAGACTGTCCGTCTTAATGCTCTGGTTTTCTGCCCAAAAGGTCTGGTGCCGTACAACTACAAAACTGTACTTGTGTAAGTGCAAATACAAAATGCATAGCTGTTGAACATGTACATTTACTTTTCACAGAAACCAGTCTACTACGGCGTGAGATCAGCGGCGAGGGTGTCTTCAACTGAGCCATTAGCGCCTCTGAGTACATAGGATCTTCACTTTTAACCCACCTGCGGCCAAGAGTTATGTTACCTCAGATACAAAACAGTGTGTCTCGACAATGTTATCCATACTTGTGAGTTTACTGTATTAAATGTTGAGTTTTAACAAAAAAAAACAGTTATTATTGAGTGCCGAGACTGTATCCCAAACTCAGCGATTTGTCACATGACAGTTCCTTTTCAGCATAACAGTATAACATTAACTTAACGCTCTCTTTGCACGAGTGAATGCTAGTTTGTCGGGATCATATTACTGAATGTATATTGCAAGAAAAAAAATAAAATAACATTAACTTAACAATAGTCATATTAAGGAGGGACGACAGGCTTCGGATTTCCTTTTTAATACAAATGTATAAAGCTTAAGAATAAATATCTTGGTAGTGGATTCGCATAGAATTAAGAATTTTCTGCATATATAATATATATATGCAATTTATTTACATATTAATTATTTTCAGTTTCAATTTAGCTAGATTACTGTTTACGTACTTGATCGAATGAAATTACAAGCATTGCCCAGTTGTCATTCAGTTTTGTGCTGGTCAATGGCTTTAAAACACAAGTCGCTGATTTAAAGCTAAACAAGAACAAAAAACAAATTTGTAGAAAACTAAGACTAACCTGTGCGATTGGAAAGTAAGCTACAGTCCCGCTGAGCAATATAACGTTGTGATACGTTCACCAAGTGTCCTGTCATTTCAAGATGAAACAAAACCAAAATCGCAAGAGAAAGAGTCTGGATTGAAGTGCAGAAGACAAGCAACCGGAGATGTAAAGTCAATGTTCGCTCCGACGAAATGCCCATTCTGGACCGCACTCTCTGCGGTTCCCAATTCCGGCCTGTACTCCCAGCCCAAAGAAGTCCAGCGCAGAGAAACTCGATCATCTGAAGCTCTGCCCTCCCTTCTTGCCTGGGGGCGGGGAGTCACTTTTCTGGATCGGCTGCTGGAAGAGGTAGCAAACATGGGCGAGAGCCTGTAATATAAATATTTATTAAAAGACTAATTTGAATTGGTCTAATTTTATGTAAAGCTTTATTTATTTATTTTTAGGCACCAGTGCAAAAGAGACTACTTGTAACGCTTACGGCCGACAGGCACTGTGTAAGAGCCGGCGTACCAGAGCAGGTGACGTCACCGCCCTTCACTGTGATAGCAGGACTACAGCTAGTGGGCTGAAGAGAGATCTCTCTTTGGCTCACGGGGCTGGGTCACTGTAGAGAGACGCGGGAGTCCCGGCTTCGAGCCCCCGACGGTGGGGGGCTGACCTAATGTGGCAAGGGTGCCTGCCTGAGCCCCCATTGTGTTTCATTGGTGTTAGCAGTGGGATGGGATAGCCCTTTGCTGGGGATGGCGATTTAAGTGGGGGAGAGTGTAATGCTTATGGCCAACAGGCACTGTGTAAGAGCCAGCCCTTCCCTGTGATAGCAGGACTACAGCTATGGGGCTGGCCTGCCTGAGCCCCTGTTGCATTACATACTGTTATATTTAAAGTTTTAGATGAGAACCTCCAGAAGCAGGAGAAACAGCATTGAGGCTGTACTATGATCATAATAGACTGTCTTGTATTAAAGATGACATAATTACACGTTCTGTATCGCTGTGGTGTTTTGTTGTAATAAAAGCCATTAGCACGGATTATTCACTTTTACATCTAAAACTTTTTAGACAAGAGTGGGGATTGTATTTTTAATTCTGAGCAGGAAATACAACGGTACAACGATTAAGGAATGCTGGGCTTGTTAAAATGGACTGCGCTCAGCGTGATCTCAGTGTTTCTGTTCTGTTTTCTCTGAGGTAAACCACAAGGTTCACGCCCTTCAGGGGCTCTGTGGGGTAACATGGAGAGTTATGCACCACGGGCAAGCTAGACAGAGCTGAGGTCTTTTGAACTTCGGGCTGGAGGTACACAAAATAGCCTTTGCCCTTGCTGAGAGACTTAGGGGCTTCAGTGGTACTGTATATGCCGAGAACGCTGTTATTTGTTTCTGTCCCTTTCTTCATCCCTTCTGTCCTTTTGGTGTAATTAAGAGCAAACAATGCACTCTTTAAGTGTCTATTGCGTCATGATGCCTGAGAACTGACGCGGATGTTAGACGATGTTATAAACCACAGTGCAGACTATTGTGCACAATTTCACAGTGTTAGGGTGGTTTAAACTGTTTATGGGCACTGTGAGTCATCTTTCTGTTGCTGTCATTTTCAGCAAGAGCACCGATATTGTCTGGATAATTCTAGAGGGCCACGGGTGTTCTGGTTACCGTTTAACTTCAGCTCTTAAAAGTTAAATTGAATCAGTAACCCCTCCTGTCCATAAACGCTTTGCACTGACCACCTCCTGAAAAATCAACAGATGCTTGTGTGTGTTTCAAAACCTTTCTTTGCACTGCGCGGCTTCGATGGAGTTCATTAAACATTATTGTTCTATCAATGTATGACGTGGTGCCGACTTCAATGATCTCAGTTCTTTTTCCATTCCATCCAGCAGCAATATCACCTTGCAACTCACGACTGGCAGCCCACTGAAGTTAGGTGTGAGCCTGGCCAGCACCTGGATATGAGACCTGGGAAAGCTAAGGTTACTGCTGCAAGTGTAACCAGTAGGGAGCGCTCACTCTGCGGTCTGTATGAGCTCTAATGCCCCTAGTATAGTGATGAGGACACTACACTGTAAAAAAAAGGCACCGTCCTTCGAATGAGACGAGATGTAAAACCTGGGTCCCGACTCCCCATTATAATTAAAAATCCCAGGGCGTTTCTCGAAAAGTGTTGGGGTGTTAACCCTAGTGTCCTGGCCAAACTCCTTAACCGGCCTTTACCAATCATTGAATCCTATCAATTAAAATGAATGCCGTCACATTATCCAATTGGGTGCTACACATTGGTGGTGATGGAGGGGAGTTCCCATTGCCTGTAAAGCACTTTGAGTGGAGTGTCCATTAAAGCGCTATATAAGTGTAAGCAATTATTGTTGTTCCCTTCCGATTGACCATTCTGTAATTAGCGAATGGTAATTGTAATACCATTCTGCAACGGAAGAGGCCACTGTGGAACAACATTTTGGCTAAGGCTGATAAACTCTTTCCCTGATTTTTTTTAAACCGCTTTCCCCAAATGTTATTTCCTTGAAATGGCCTTGTTTCCTAAGAGCTTGTCCGAGGTGAGAAAAAAAAAAGAAATGGATGCATTACATTATCTTTACACAATTATTAAAACAACTTTCCATTGAACCATTGTGTTCAATCTAATCCGCAAGACAGGATGCTATAAAGCTTTCCCTAGACACTGTTTAAGGAGGATTATATTTCAGCGATTAAGACCTAGATTTATACATCTCTACCCCTCTGGCTCCATCTTTCTAAGACTACATCTCATCATTTATATAAAATCTCTGTCTTCTCGTGATGTCCACAACCAATAAAGACATATTTAAGAGTAATTTGTAGATTACAGGCCTGGTAAAAAGCTTCATGGGCACATTTCCACCCTTAAAGAGCTAAAAGTGTGCAATTTTTAAAATCCTTTTTATACACTGCGCTGAAATGGAAAGGGGAGACGACTCACTGTCAATACCAGATATGAATGCTGCTGAAATACAGCACCTGAATGATCAAACCTGTTATTAACCTGTGTATTGTGTGAGCTGTGCCAGATATTATTGTTTAATTGTGCATATACTAATGTACAGCAGATTGCCACTAATTGGCGGTTATCTTGTGAACAGACAACGTTTCCCTGCCTGAGTAGAGAGATGTACAGCCTTTGTAAGCCTGATAAGACGAAAAGATTCCCACAGCATTATCTGTGGTCGTTTGACAGCTGCTGATGGGCAAAATTCTCTTCCCAGTAAAATTAATGCCTATGTTCTTTTTCTTTTTCAAATAAACCCATTACAGATTGACGCTAGTACAAGTGAAATGTGCACAAAAGGTGGGGTGGGTGACCTCTCTACACATATAAAAGATTTACAGTAGCTGCTGTGTTTATTCATTTTAATTGTCCTTCTTCTGGGTTCTTGTCTGCTGTGGTGCTCCAGTGTGACTGGCCTATTGAAGAAGTGAAGGATTGACTCAAAAGATTAACTGGGGGGTTAAAGATTGACAGTTAACTATGAATTGAGGAAAAGACGTAGGAGGAGAAGAGATGAAAGAAGAGAAGCAGGATAGAGATGAGGAGAGAGGAGGGACAACATCACAAAACAATGACAGAACTACTGAATGTATCCCTACGTCAGACAACCCTATAGCACTGTAACCAGGTCAACACTTGACCTCACACTGATATTTGGCACGACGGATTTATTTAAGTGAAAATAGGTCATTTTACTCCAGGGGGCAAGTTCTAATTGACCATATCTGTTGTTACACAGATTGCAACCTTTTGCAGTTCACTGTCATATAAAACTGCAAGTCCTTTGCTTTAAACTCACCACGGGAGCAGCAGAGTCACTCTTACAGCTGCTGGATTCAGGGACTAGGTAAAGTACAGTACACTCCATAGTCTAAAACGTACAGTCTTTTGTCATTGGTGTCATAATTCCAATTGCGTTTAACAAATGACCTTAAAACTAGCCAAACAAACAAACCTCTTTTCTTAGTCTTTCCACTTTGGCAGGTATGAAGCTCTGTGACTGATTGGTATACAAAAAATCCATTTGTTGCACATTAATAATGCATTAGTACAATTTTGTCCCCAGTGATGAAGGTAATTAATTATGCTGTTGTTTCTCAAGCATGTCAACTCATTACTGCAAACACTCCCCACTGCCAGGCTCTCCCTGCCAGGCTGGCTGCCTCCTCTCCTGGTACTGCCAATCAGGCTGTACTGCAACATCAAATGCACCAGTGCAAGACAAGCCTCTAGTTTCTATGCATTAACAATCGGCAGCTAGTGTCATGTCACAGAGCCATTGATTATTTCAAAAGTGCGGCTCTGTGAAATGATCTGGGCACTGATTGAGGGTCAACCAGCCTCCATCCTGTTCCCTCCCATTCCAGTTGGGAATCTGTGTAAAGAATGTCACTTATGAGCCGGAGTAAAGGAGTAGACAAGAATTTAAGAGCACTTGTGTGAATATTGTTGTATTACAGAAACACCCATGAAAGCATATTCAAGGCCACTGCTTCAATGTGCTTTCACCTAATAATACACTAACATAGGATGTTGTGAAGTGCTACATAAATATTTCAAGATGCTAATTACCTTCATAGGGGATTCTGGTGTGTCCTTTATGTTGTAACATTAGGAGCAAGCTTTTAATTTTTCAATAAAGGACAACAAACTTACCATGTTGGATAATGCTTTGTGAATATTCCCCAGGGTCTCTTTCTCACACTAATAGTTACGGTTCTAACAAGTTTCCGAATCTGAATTATTTTCCTTAGTTCCCATGTGAGAGCACTGCTGTGCTGCTATATTGCATTGCAATGTTGTTTCTCCCTGCTGTGGAGTGTAGCATGCTTCAAAATGTCAGTTATCCAGAATCGAGACACGGGTCCTCCGTGTCTATCTGACCAGCTCTTTACTGAATGGTCATGTGACCCCATCCTCCTCCCTATTAGAAACTCACTTACAAGATATCACAGGAGCCAAGGGATTCTTGTTAAACTAGGAAATATAATTTATTGCATAAAAATTATTTTGTTACAGTAAGAAGGCTAGACATTTATTTACAATTGGTCATTTTTACAGAATTAAAGAAACACTTTATTGTTTGTTTTAAAAAGAGGCGTCGGCTGCATCTAGCATATTCTATTGCTTACAGGTGTCAAAAAGATCAGATTACATACAGGTAAATGAAGCACAGGAGGGAAATAAATATTTTTCTCTTGAAAAAGCAAATGGAAAATAGTTATGTTGCAGCTTCATGGTGTATCACCTATCCAGATTTCTGCATAAAGAAATACAATGTTTTGGTGAAATTAAAAATGTTTAAGTCTGCAATATTAAAGATCTTGTTTTAGTCCAACTAAATGCTTGCCATAATTGCACATTGGTATAAAAGTTAGGAAGGTAAGGATGTCTGTTGCTGCTTTGTTTCTGCATGAACGGCAAGGCTGGACAAGACCACTGAGGCTCTCTCAAATGCACATGGAGCTCAGCACTATCAATATCAAAACTATCTAGGGATCGCATTGCACTTACAGGCCAGTCCTTATGTTATTGACTCTTCTTTCCAGGTCAAGACTAAGCCTTACTCACAGCAGCAGTTGGAACAGACCAATGCATCACCTGCTTTCTCTTTTAAAAATACATACTTCCCCTCTGAACAGGCAAGAAAAGTCCTACAATGCGCATTTAATTTGTACTTGCATAGTACTTGTACATAGAAAAAAAAACATACACACTCATGGTTATTCATGGTTGTGAAAGTCGAAAGATACTGCTTAAGTTTTGGTTTTTCTTTTTCAAGAGTTAAACACTTTTCCCCCAATAGTTAGAAAAATAAAAGTGATAAAAAGTAATCATAATAACAGTAATGATATGAAATTCATATAATAGTGATGGTGATCCTGGGCTCAGTGATAGAGCTGTAAAATCTAGTACAGAACATAGTGAAGATTTGTGCCTCTGACACACTGGGGGAAATGGTACAGGCTGGCAGGACTGCCTATCTCTGCCTGCAGGTACTTAATGTGTTGGGCCAGCACTGGCTCATCCTGTTCACAGACAAATCAAGAGTAGCGTAATGTTGACCACTAGAATTATATGCTTTACCTTATAAATACTCCCTACAGATAATTAGGAAAGACCTGTTGATTTGCAATATTAAATTGCCAGCATGGAAAAAGTTGTGCACACTGAATGAAGACACACAGTAGCACCAGAACTGGTCTCTCTTATTCCAGATGTGTTTAGAGTACAGGCAACAAGTGTGAAAAAAGCCAAAAAATAGAAAGTGTCCCATTTGTGATGCACATATGAGTGAAATATTTTTTTTGCTTGAATCTGGAAATTTTTCATGTCTTTTTCCAATGCCACTTCTCATGCCAGTGTGCCAATACGATTACATGCTGTTAATTACAGCAGTTTAACAGTGTCAAACAGCTGTCAGTCATCACCCAGCGTAAACCACAAGACTTGGTGACCGCAAGTCAAAACTGCCAGACCACAGAAGGTAAAGACATGTTCTTCACCTCACAGAGGGAAGTGGGGCTTTCTTATCTATTGGGAGATCACCCTGCAGATAGCCATCTGTATCCAACAACTGGCCAATTTGACTGTCCAACAACCATTTCTGGACCAGTTTTAGCTGTGTATGAGGAGGGCACATGACCTCCTAGAGGCCAGACTGTATCCTGACCAGCTTTGCAGTGTATATATATATCATACTGTACATCTTTAAATCATAAAGAGGGTGGTAGGGGTGAGTTTCAGGCAGTATTCATTAAACACTGGACCTGGAGATTGTGATAAAAGTAACAATTATGTCGATACCATTTGTTTAGTAACATTCATTGCTATAAACAAGGTGATTAAAGTTTGCACTTGGGGTGTTTTAACCTTTGTTACTCTTTTCTGGGCAGATTTCACAAATCAGTAACAATTAGCCCATTGTGAAGACCAAGTGTGGATGATGTAATGATGTGTTTGGCTGAGCTGTGTTCAGACAGAACCCCAAACTATAAAGAAGTGGGACATCCCACTGCCCTGATGAGGGTCCTTCACTGGCTGCACATCCCCTTTTTGACCGAATCATCCGATCTGATCCCTCTTCAGGGTGAGTGCCATCTCCTATCAGGACCAGGATGGTGCAATGTGATCAGAACTACACCTAGCTCAGCAAGCAGTGTCCATGAACATTAGTCTAACAAAGCCCTGAGCCTTTTACACTGGAGCATTTTACACAGGACGTTTCTCCCTTCCTGCTACCTTTAGAGGTGCCAATTGTGCTTTAAAATCTCATCAATTTCTTTCCATTATCTCCACTGTCATGAAAACAAATGACAAAATGTGCAAGAAAGTTCTCAAAAGGTTTTTGCTCCACTGCAAAGTTCTGTACCATGAAATAAAACAATTTTCCAAAAGAAGATTTCAGAAATGGCATCTCTTTTTTCCATATCTGTGTTATCTCTTTCTATTTTTGAACTTTCACGTTACCTTCAGAAAAAATGGGATTACATTTTGCCAAAAAATAAACCTGTAAGTATTTAATCCAGAAATTTTCTTCTGCAAGTTCCAGTCATTTATAAGATTTTAAGATGCCCGTTGCATAGTAGCAGACCCATTCTTAGCTTTCCTATAACTTTAAAGGAACATACATGAGTTTGTTACCCCAGCTAACCCGACTCAGAAAAAAATGGAATGGAGCTAAACTGATACGCAATAGGAATCCACAGTGAGTACTGCCAATCTGCAAGATGACGGACACTGAGCTCCAGCCCCAGCAGAATAGCAGTGCAGTCAGTCCAGTCTACACCCCAATCTCCTGCTGCAACGGGCTATGCATCCTCCCAGCACCAAATATCAGACTAGAGCCCACTAACAACCACTGACTCCAACATAATGTGAGAATAAAACACAAAATCCAAAAATATGGATAATAACTTAAAAAGTGCGTTTCCTAGGAAACTCTTAATGGTATTGAAGCTGTGTGTAGCTTATTTTGCAAAATGATGTAAAGATGCAGAGGGAAAGGGAGAGAAGTGAGAAAGATCCAGATGATCCAATTGTTATACCTGGATATTGAGTCTGTCACCAAGACAGTTGAATTATTACTATTCTTATATACTGTGTGCCTCTAGAAGGGCCTCAACAATGTGTCAGCACTGTACTGCAAACAGGAGGAGTTCAAAATAAAAAATAAAAAAAAAATATGACAAACAGTCCAGACTGTTACTAAAAAAAAACAAATCATTCAGGCTCCCCTGGGATTCTTTGTCCAAACCCACCCACTGATCTGGTGTACTGGATCCATACTGGAGTGACCTGGCGAAAGATTCTAAGGCAATAAAAGGGAATCAAGCTCCCTGTGGGGCACAATCACACAAACAAGCAGGCAGCATCCCCACACCCCTACACACACCCCCTGCCCCCTGATCAAATTCCCCCACCCCCCTAAAGCAGCAGAGTCGATCAGGCGAATCGAAGAAGTCCACTGACACGCAGGCACAGGCTTCGCTGTGGGGTACGGCACAGTCTGTGCACAGCCCAGCTCTGCCATTCTGTGCGATGGTACCTGATGCAAATAACACTGCACTGCGAAATCCCTGAGAGACCTGGCCAGAGCGTCCTGTCTGTGATAGGCCTCAGGCGGGCCTGTGCAAGATGATGAGGGTTGCTGTGCACTGAATCGGTAATGGGGAGCTCTCACTTCAATGGGTGCAGAGTGCCACATGTGGAGTTTCTGGGGGACACACGTGGAGCGTGGTCCTCAAGGTTTGTGAGCTCACGGCGCCCCGTTTGTGCTTGCAGTCTCGCCCGCCTGCTTAACAGTCACCCTCGGTTGCCATGACGACCAGCACCTCACTCTTGCCCATCTCTTCCAGCGCGCTGGCCAGCGAGTTCAGGTCGGCGTCGTCATGGTGACACGCCTCCCACAGGTCCAGCAGCACGCCCGTTGGGCTTGGCTTTGTGGCAAAATAATTCAGATACCTGCAAGAGAGACAGAAAGAGGGGTGAATGCTTACGAATGACTGTGCTTCAGTGAGGTTTAGAAAGAAAAGTTAATAAAAATGACAATAGAAAGAGTCTGATGGAAAGAAAAATAATACAATACATTCAGTAAAAAATCAACACTGTGTCAGAGTCACAAAGAAGTTCATTTACCCACTACGCACTATTACAGAGAGAGCGCTTGCCTGACTTTTTGAATTCCATTTGGCAGTACCTGTCAAAGCCTAGTCGGTGAGCCAGAAGTCTCCAGTCACTGCCACGGGCACTGGGGGCATCCAGGCTGGCACAAATCTTGTTGCGAATGGAGGCAGGTAGTCTGAAGGCGTAGGGGCCCACCTGAGTGGAAGGCACACAGCCCCCAGCCACTGGGAACGGATTGAAAGGAGTCACGTCCTTGGAGGACAAACAGAGATGCATGTTACTCGGGGGAAGTTTTACAGAACACCCATTTTGAGATGTTTGTCAAAGGTAAAGATGCAGAGTTGAAGACTTCTGTTTATCTCTTTCATTTGTGTGCATCAGCACATGTATCTTCCTCTATTTCTCTCTCCCTGTCTCCTGCCCACAGGACTCCTGTCACTCCTGCTCCCCCCAGCTTTTAGGATTATTTTCTTATTTATTGTGAATCCCACCCTTTTCCAAGTGCAGCTGTTATTTTCTTGCCTGCCGGTTTTCTCAGTTGCCTACCGAGATGAAATCTAATTTTGCAATGAAACAGAGGGAATAAGTTCCTGTGCAAATGTGAACGGCGCCTCACTCCTTGTCCATCTGAGTTTCTGCAGTGTGCGAGTGCGCCTGCTTGGTCTGTCCCCCCGGACCCCGCAGCGCAGTGGAATATTACCTCCTGCAAGGAAGTGTGCAACTGGAAAATCTGCCCCTCCCCTTCCACCTGGCGCACACAGATCTTGCAGGTAAGCTCCGAGACAGCCAGACTGCTCCGTTCCAGACTGAAGGTACAGTGCAGCGTGCGCTGGCTGCCGCTCCAAATGTGATAGAAAGGGATCTCCTAAAGGAGGGAAGGAAAGATGACACATGGTAATGGGGATTCTGCGCGAGCTGCACATCTGTATCGAAGCACAATGCAGTCAGTATCTGCATATCCATGCGCCATCTTGTACGATATATAAGAAGGCTTCAGTAGGAAATAAATCAGTGACTGAACACCAAACCTTTTTCATATTTGTAAAAAAAAAATTTATTTCGTTACAGTAGTTCAGTCTGTCCTGCTGGGGCATGATAAGTACATTCTGTAAGGATGTGGCATTGGAGAAATTCATTATTTTATGTATTGTGTATTTTTATAGTAAGAGTTCTAGAGTGCAGAGTGTTCTAGAGTGCAAATGAGAGAACATTCATTTTGAGATATGGAATGAAAACAATTCAATACTGAAAGAAAACAGCTGAGGTAGAGGAGGGCTAGAAAGCATGAATCTTCATTGCTCCACTACTAAGCATGAAATTCACAGCACAACTGTTTTATAACCATTTTATTTTCCATGTATAGATCATTTGAGATAACTTCTCAGCCAAAACATAAATATTTTTATAATAATATCAATGTAGAAAAACATAACAATTCTCCACACAACAGTTCAATGGGAGAGGGAGGAGCCTGAAGAAAGACTGGAGTGAAACTTGAAAGGGTGGAGGAAAAGGAAAATATACCAATAAACTATATGTTTTAATAAAAGTGAAACAATTTCATGACAATACATTTTCTGAAGGTGACGTAACTTCCATACACTAAGTAATAGCTTTACCATAGACAAAATGGCAATATTTATTTGCTTCAATCGTATTATATCCAGACCAGTACTGTGTTCTAGAACTGTAGAATCCTGTTTCTTAACTCAGGGTGCCCTATCCCAGCAAAGCATTCTGCATTGCTCTGCTGCTCTAAGGACACTGCAGCACAGGAGGGTTATGCCTTCACGAGAATTCCACCTACAGTAATGCTCTCCCATAAGCCACATTTCCATTGTAAACGGTTCCTTATAGAGACAGACTCTCATAAATTAGTTCAAGAGGGTGGCTGTGTCAGCATGCGTAGGCGGCAAAGAAACAAGTAAAGGTTTATTCCATGATGAAAAGAGACGCAACGTTTCGGTTCTGGAGCCTACTTCGGGTGTGGACAACTGAAGAAGGCACCACAGCCAAAATGCTGAGTTTCTTTTCTTCTCTTTTCAGCATGGAATAAACCTTTACTTGTTCGTTTGTTTCATAAATGAGAACAGGAGGCTTATCTTTGTGCAGATGGCTCTCACACCCCTGTGGAAGGATGGGACAAGCTGGCCAGTGATGATATTGCAGCCAATACCCTGTCTACTTTCAAGAAATGGCTGGATGAGATCCTTGGATCACTTAGCTACTTGACGGGCCAAATGGGCACCTCACATGTGTAACTGTTCTTAAAACTCTAAACTAAAGAAGGAAAATTACTGAGAATAATTGGATGCAATTATATTAAAGCACAGCAGTAATCTCTCATTCTTACCCATACTAAATAAAAACTGCAGTAAGGCGATAGAGAATATTGCTCAGTGAGTGCGGAATTTCAAACTAATCCTCACTCTGAAATCTCTCCTCCAGGAATGCTCTTTCTTTGCAGGGTGAAATCTCTATAGCTGCATTCCCTCGTCTCTGTGCTTTGTTTAATATACTCACTGGCTGGAGTGAAATGAAAAACAAATCTCTTGTTGCCTTTTTTTATTTTTAAACCCATAATCAGATCAGAGCCTCTTTTGATGAATTGCAGTGGATTAATTTGTGCTGGTTCGCTCCTTCTCTGCAGACACACTCCCTGCTCCTCCCACCACACCTCACACTGCACACAACTGAAAGCACAATGTGGATCTGAGGAACTAGATCTCTGGTGGTTTAGAAAGCATTCTCTGCAAGCCTTTGCATGCCTTTGTAATAGAAAAACATTTCATATGAGAAGAAATTTCCACACGGTCATTCAGCTACAGCAGAGTGGTGTCCCAGCTGTGAGCTGGGGCTCTCAGGTAAAATAGGGGACTGTTACTGAGCTTAGGAGGTGGATTCAGGAGCTGCAACAGCTCAGATTGGTTGTGACTTAAATAGAAACAGTCTGCAATCAGGAGCTGCAGCTGTTGCTGTTTTGTTGCTCTGATCAGAAAGGTTTTCTAAGCCTATAAGATAAGATAAAGATACTTTATTAGCCATACACAATTTCTTGCTTTAGTAGAATCTATCTTTTCACATACCCCAGCTTGGTCTCCATGAGACACACACACAGGGGAGAGAGAAGCTTGGGGCCAGAGCACAGGGTCAGCAATTTATACAGCGCCCCTGGAGCAGCTGGGGTTAGGGGGCCTTGCTCAGGGGCCCAACAGAGTAGGATTCCTCTGCCAGCCGCGGGATTTGAACCAGCAACCTTCCAGCCAGAGGCACAAATCCTTAGCCACTGTGTGGCCATAGCCATAGCTCTGCCCCTAAAGCTTACAGCACCTGGTATTCCCAGGCGGTCTCCCATCCAAGTACTAACCAGGCCTGACCCTGCTTAGCTTCCAAGATCAGACAAGACTGGGTGTATTCAGGGTGGTATATTGTAGTATCTTTTTTGTGGTGACCAAAATCTAACACGGCATTGTACAAGAGGTTTGAATAGAGCATTTTAGAGCTTAAGCATAACTTCTCTGGATTTAGATTCTACACTTTTTGTTATATACACAAGCTTAATTGCTTCTGCCCACTGTTTATCTAAATAAATGCCCAGATCCCTAATATGAAGCTTTCTATATAGTAACAGCACCTGTACAACATGGGTAGTTTATGTTCCTACTACCCAGTGTGGGCCCTTTGCACTTACCAACATTGAATTTCATTTTCCATTTGTCAGACCTTGAACCGTCCCTTACCTGGTACTTGGCAAGCAGTTTGCTCCTCCAGTGGGAGTGAGGGATGTCGTGGATGGACAGCCGCAGGTTATGGTAGCTGTCTTTGAACAGCAGTGGCTTGGGCTCCTCCAGTAGGCAGCCCCCCAGACTGCGCTCTAACTCCACCACCTCCTGCAGCGGGAGAAGGAAAAAGAAGCACTGTAAGCTCCACTCCTACTCAGAGGCACATTATGCTCCAATTCCCCCACCTCCTGAAGCGAGTTACTGCTGTTGCTGCGACTGTGAAGAGGAAGCAGACCGAGGTAGGATGTGTGAGGGGGGTGTCAATGTGTGTTCGTGTGGCTCATTTTTCTTTGATTACTGTTGTTTAATTGCTTTGGCAAAAGTAGGTCAATCTTGTCATGGCAACAGAGTTGTTTTTAAAACAAATAACAGAGACACTTTAGACTCTAAACTTAACTGTGCTGAAAAAACATACAAATATTCCATCTTTACAGTCTGTTGGAATCTGGGTGACAGACTCTCTTGCTTTGCCTGCTTTTCTTTCCATTTAAGAGTGGAAGTAAGACTACTATTAATTGGCAGTGTGAGTCCCTGGCTGTTTTAAAACTAACAATGTAGTAAAAATTAAATATTTTCACACAGGTTTTTAACTTCATTTCAAAGAGTTCCTGTCTTTCCGAGCACACATATACAAAATAACACAACAAGCATGCGTCAGACAGCCCCTCCAGCTTGTAAAACCCGAAATGTCTGAAACTGCTCTGCAACAGAGCTCTTATTTCTGTCTCTGTTTCATGATCTGAACAAGGGGGAAAAGGAACGCAGTGCTATGGCTCATTAGCAGCCCTCTCAGCTAATTGACTAACAAGCCCCAGCAGCAGACAAGCTGATAACATTGCAGCAGACCAAGGTGTTAATTCAATCAACAGCATCTCATCTCGTTTGCAGAGTGTATTATTTGTAATGAGTTTGGCAATAGCTTGACCATGTTCCTTCTGTATCTTCTTTTTAGGTGTGTAATCGTCTTTTTGTCTCACAGTATAGGGTTGTAAGAGGTTTAAGAGGTGTCAGAGAAAGGCAAAAGACAGGGTAACAGAAACATACAAAAAAGGTGAGTGTGAAGAAAATTAACAAGGTGTGGAGAGATTCTGGAAGAAAGGCGGACTGGGACCAAAAATACAGACAGAGTGGCAGAATAAGTGGCAGAATAAAATAATAGTGTAAAAGTTGCTTTTCTAACTCTAAGAAACTCATCTCATCTTCCAAAATGCTTTCTAGTGAGTAAAATGTTTGAATTCTATTCTCCCTTGAGACATTGTCTCCTGCTAGAGCTTCCAACATTAAAATTGTATAACGGCCTCCAAAACCCCCCTGAAAATCAAGCTGTGCTCTGCAGCCAGAAGCCCTGCCAATCCCCCGGCAGCCTTGCCTTGAGAGCGTGAGGGGTGTCCTGAGTGCAGTAGATCCGGAGGCTGTAGTCGAGCGACAGAGAGGGCATGGGGGCGAAGAGGGCAAGCTGCAGGCGCTTGGAGGCCGGGTGTGAGCCGGACTGCCCAACCAGGCTGTAGGTGCCCAGCTGGTCCAGTAACACGTGGCAGCACCGCGACTCCAGCTGGCAGTAACAGGGCGTGGACAGGTTCTCCTCTCCCAGAGTCACCACCTCCTGCACAGAAACACAGCCAAACACACGCCTGAATGCTTGAAACACACTGATAAATAAATCTCGGACATCATGCTTTTATAGAGAGGTTCTCACTCTACCATCAATGTCCATTCAGCACCCCTAACCCTAGAAACACATTCATCTAGGACTTATAAATATAAAATATATATATATAAATATATAAAATATCCTAAGAATTCATAGAATCTGGAAATAATTATACAAATGACAAATTCACACAACAAGAGTCAGAAAAATAGTTTAAAAACCGGATTATATAGAATATTCTACTCACAGTATATTATTTACTCCTGATAGACCAAATGCAAATATAGGGCCTCATACACTCAGTATATTGATCACACCACACACTGGCATACAGCAGGCCAAAATGGGATTTTTGTAGTTTTTCCACTTTTTACCATATACCCCAGATTGCCAAAGATTCCCACCGTCTGAAATACACTTTATCCTATACACTCTACAAGGCTATTACTGTGCAATACTACTCTTTCTTCTACATGGACCAACAGTAAACTTTAATAAGGGTGCAGCAGCCATGCAGTCCAAACACAGACAGGAATGCTATCTGGGTCCCTCACCTCCCATGTGCCCTGGTGGCACTGAGTCTTGAGCTGCAGGGTCCAGTCTGAGCTATCCAGGTCAGCACAGTGCGGGACAGTCAGAAGCACAGGGCGGCACAGCAGCATGCTGGTCGGACCGCAGGTCACCGCTGGGCTCAGCACCGTCTGGGTGCCATCCGAGGGCAGTCTGAAGGCACAGAGGGCATCATCAGATACAGGGCACTGAACTAAAATAATCATGACTCCTTACACTCACATAATGCTTTTCTGGACACTCCACTCAAAGTGCTTTACAGGTAATGGGGACTCCCCTCCACCACCACCGATGTGCAGCCCCACCTGGATGATGTGATGGCAGCCATAGTTCACCAGTACACTCACCACACACCAGCTATTAGTGGGGAGGAGAACAGAGTGATGAAGCCAATTCATAGATGGGGATTATTAGGAGGTCATAATTGGTAAAGGCCAATGGGAAATTTGGCCAGGACACCGGAATTACACCCCTACTCTTTTCAAGAAACACCCTGAGATTTTTAATGACCACAGAGAGTCAGGACCTCGGTTTTACATCTCATCCTTTTTACAACACAGTGTCCCTGTCACTACACTGGGGCATTAGGACTCTCACAGATCGCAGGGTGAGCGCCCCCTACTGCCTCCACTAACACCTCTTTCAGCAGGAACCTTAGTTTTTCCCAGGAGGTCTTCCATTGTGGTACAGCAGATTTACACCTGCTGAGCTTTAGTGGGATGAGAGTTGCCAGGTGATAAGGCTGCTGCCCTACATGTACAAACTGCTCAAGTGTCCAAGTTGGTGAAGGGTTTACATTAGTGTAATTAAAGTAAAGTCAACATTTGCCATTGTATAGCAAGTTTAGTACATGCTTTTATAGCCTGTCCTGAATATTTCAATGTTGATCTCTTTCCCATTTTTTCACAAACAGTTCACGCACAGTTGAAAATTTCAATTTTGTCCTCATCAATATAATATGCATATTCGGAAAAAAATAGAATTTATTGGAAAAAAATGTAAAATACAGTAAGTTTCCACAAAATGTGCCTTATTCATTAGCAAACATTATACTGACTTTGACAAACCAGGCCCAGTAAAATATTAGAAGTATTTGCCTCATGCAAACCAGCTGTGGAATCAGCAGTGTGCTCCATGCAGTATCATAAAGCCATATTTGATCACTCCACACACCAATTATACCAAAACAACCAGCCACCAGAATATTAGCACTAAAATAAATTTAACATTTTCATGGATTAGGTTTCCTATGAGATTAGATGCTCCAAATGTGACCTCTGCAGCCCATAAAAGACTGAGGAGGGCTGAGTGCCAGGAAGGTGCTGCCTGTTGTCCCAGAATCCCAGAGAAGACTTCACGCACATCTGTCAATGTGCTGTGTTAGTGCAGGTGGGGGTGCGTGGGTGGGGTGCTGTGGTACTCACATGGTATTTTCCCACTTGTTGATGATGAGGTACATTTCATAGAATTTCCCCTGTGGAATTGTTCCTGGAGGGACCAACAAACTGACCCCTAGTGGAGAGAGAAAAACAAGAAAGGACAAAAAAAAGAGTTCATCAGAAAATTATTATTATATTATAATTATATAATTCATGTTGCCTCCAAGTAGGGTGACACATAATATCTGGAATCAGCAGTTATTTTTCTGAGATTCTCACCCAATCTGGAATTGCTAATTGCTTTTTTAGGAATCTGCTTTACAGGTAAGACTCTCACAATGCACAGGGAGAACCATTACCTACAACTGGCCCAGCTCCCATTCACCTTTTGACACCCTGAAAACTATAGCGCCTCACAGTATACTGTGAGTCAGAGTGGTGCGTCTCTCAGCGGCGTCAGTGTAGGTCACTCCAGTAGCTGTTTCACTGGAATCCAAGAGAGGCCTGGCTGACTAATGCCGGGAACAGACAGCCGACATCTGGGCCGCAAAACGAGATAGAGCCCAGTGGAACACGTACACAGCACACTTACTCTAGATAACCTAGACATCCTTCTGTGAGCACTAACCTGTGTTTGGGATGGTCAGCCTCCCGCCAAGGCAGCCCAGAGTGGCACTAGCGCTGTGTCCCGGCTCACGCGGCAGGGTGTGGCTGTAGGGGGTTGGCCCCAGGCCCTGGCCTTTCATGTTCAGAGTCTCGCCGTCCTGCAGCCCGCTCCCATTGGGCAGCTCCAGCGAGGACAGCGTGGAGGAGTTGTACACCTTGATCTTGAGGCTGGGGAGGGGGTCCAGCAGGGGCGAGGTGGTCATGGGGATCTTGTCAGCAGAGTCCTGCAGGGAGTACATCGGCCCCCGGTATGAGCCGGCTGTGGCCGTCAGGTCAGGGGGGGCAGAGGGATGAAGGAGCTGGGGGTTATCTGTCATTCAGAGAGAGAGAGGGATTACTGTTTATGAGACGCAGACTCAAATATGTGAAGCTATGAGATATCAATGCGAGTGGGGAGGGGAAAGATGAGTGGGTATCTGAATGAAAAGAGCAGTTAATTCAAACTGTTGCAGCTATGAACTTTACTCCATTAGACCAAAGAGAACCAAACCAAGTGGGACAATGTACCAAAAGTGCAGGATTACAAGGGAAACAGTGCTGTACCATTCCTGTAACCGAGAGTACAGTATGTTTCTGGAATCTCCCCACTGTCCTGCTCCACACTGTAGCCCACAAGGCCAGGTTACATTGTTTTGGGGGGGTCTGAGAGAATTATTGTCCTCCATCACAGAACAGAATGCAAGCAGGATAAGACTGTTTTATAGGAAGGTAAACCTTATTGTGTGACTAAGCACAGGTCATAAATTCCCACTCAGCTGGATGCGTGTCAGCATGTAGTGTCATGGCCATGAAGGCAATTCTTATCAGAAGCTCAATTTCTGGGAACAGAATTAAGTAACTTTCAGAGTGGTATCATTCTTTCTAGCAGCTCTATTATCTCTGGTATAGTCATAACTTACACCTCCCCCAGATCTACACAGGCTACATTCACATGAGCTAAAATATGAAACACACTCCAAAAGAAAGCTGTTAATTCCGTACTGTGATGTTTTTCTATATAGATGCTCTAGGACAGCTCAGTTTTGACTCCTTTGCTCTGAGCTGCTAATTGGCAATTATATCCCGCACAGGAGTGAGAAGAGTTGTGCAGTTGTGAACTCGGCACTGCACACTACCCAGGAGGCAAATTAAAACGCCGCACTGCAGCTCTGTAGAGCTGAAGACCAATGTCCTACAATGAACACTGTTTCACAGAGGGAGAAGATACAGGACAGAAAGGAGATGTTGGGGTAGTGTATCTGCAAAGGATGAGGCAGGATGAGACATAGTGAACTATAATTGTGCCTGAGGTATATACCTACACTCATGGTAAGCTGGTTGGCTCTATAGGTGTAGAGGTCACACATGAGTACTGAGTCCACCTGATAGGTTGTCACCCAATATAGGGACTTGTTTTAACAGTATCAATAATTAGGCCAGTTAGAGAAATCCCTTTGAGATTGAAGATGGAAGTAAACTGTAGGAAAATCTATATGAGGACATAAGGGGAAGCTACAGTACTGAAGAGAAAGAAGAGACAGTCACTGTCTCATCTTCCCATGCTCAAACAGTCTGACCTCACAGGGTGGAGAAATAGCAGTGTGGAGAGAGGTGGAGAAATAGCACCGTGTGAGACACTGTAGGATAAATAGTATCTTTACTGAATATCGAACAAGGGCTAAAAATGGCATTTTATGTTAACCTGAAAGTTAAAGCTTATAGATCAGGAAGTATAGAGGGTATATTCTGACAGTATCCCTGCCCACGAAGGCAGCAGAGGGGCAGGAGCCCCAGAGCACTGACTGACACTGACCTTGCCGCGGAGGCTTGTAGTTGATGGGGTGGAACCCAGCAGTGAGCGCGGCAGAGGAGTCTGTGATGTCAGTGTCAAAGTCGCGGCAGTGGCGCCGGTATACGACCACGCCCACCACCATCAGGATCACAAACGAGAGGAGTATGGCCACTACCAGGCCAGCGTACAATGCCACATCCCCTGAGGCCTCGACAGCTGTGGACAGCAGAGAGAGACAGAGCCCGGTAACTTGTATCTCATTGCATGTTCCTGTACCTTACAAACAAGTTTGTCTTCCTACATTTGTGGAGACTTCCCACAATGTATTTACTCCACACTGAGTGAAAATTCAGGTTTGAAAACAAATATATTGTGCGAATATAGTTACATCTTCTATCATGAGTTCATATCTTTGCGCGAACATTTACTCTGGGCACAGTGATAGTAATACATGCACACACACTCAGTGCATTGACAAAAAGAGCTCTATCCCCCAGGGAGAATGGTCCCTGGCTTCTACAGCTAGATTTCAAGCACAATGGCAGAAAATCTCAAAACCAACAGTAAAATACAAGCCAGAAGCTAAAAGTAAGTGGAAGTGCTTTTTAAAAAGAGAACCTGGGCAATTTGTTACACAAAGGGTTGGGAACATATGGAACAAGGTACCCAGCACTGCTGTTGAAGCTGAAACCTTGGTTTTCTTTGAGAATTGGCTGGATAAGATCCTTAGATCAATTAGCTAAAGAACAAAAAACAAAGTAGATGATCCAAATGGACTCCCCTTGTTTATAACCATTCTTGTGTACTTAACATACAATAATGTAGAGACAAAAAATAAATAAAAATAACATGTGTACAATACTTTTCATCTCAAAAGATCCCAAAGCACATTATATGCAACAATTTGTTGAGTCTAGTGTATGTTTAATTTCTAAGGTGATGGCAGTAGCCTTTATGTGACAGCAGAACTGAGAAATCGGCTCACTAATGGAATTAAGGAGGAACCTAAGGAAGGTCAGAATGTACAGCCTCAGGTGGAATTTAGCCAGGCCATCATCGTTAACAGCCTTACTCTAACGAGGTCACAAGTTTTTATTTATCACGAAGACAGATTCCCAGCATAAAGATCCGCCTCCTGGTGAGGACAGTGCCTATTGTCACAACACAGATAATTAGCAGTGAGCAACAGCTAAAGTAGGATTTATCTGAAACACCGTCTGTCAGTTCAGGAGGCCAGGGCCATGGAAAAGTACAAGACACTCACGCTGGAACTGTTGTGCATTCATGGAAAAACTGAGCTAATAGGTTTGTTAACATCACCATCGTGATCACCATCATAATATCTACTACTACTAAAAATACATATATATTTCAAATTGAGGCATTTGCAGACAAGAAATCCTAAACCACTGTGCAAACATCTATCCATTTGGCAAAATGAAAAAGTGATTTTAAAAGTGAACGTGACAGTAACCAGCCTTGAGGGACTGACGCCACAGTCTGTATTCCTAAAAGCACAATTCTCTGTCACACTGGCTTCATGGACTTCGTCTTAAACTGAGTATATCTCACCAGTCACGCACAGACTTCAGTCTTCGGGCAAGACTGAGAACAAAAGAAACATTACAAACGAGAGCCATTCATCACATCTAGCCCATTTGGTTGCTCGTAGATAACTGATCTAGGGATCTAATAATCCAGCTCTTTCTTGTGAATACAGAAGTTAGTGACGGATGAGAAGGAGAACTTTGGTTTTGCGGAATCATATGGCAGAGTCAATGTATTCAATGGTATTCAATGCCGCTTTGTATTTTAATGTCAGTGCTGAAGTCAGCACATCAAAAGAGGAGAAACTGCTAAACTGCTCTAAACATACTAGATGACCTGTGAGAACATTATGGGAGATATAATGGAAGACAAGCTTTGCAGCAGTCAGGGACAGCAGAAAATGATGAATTTAGAAAATGGATGGGTGGATATATTACAGCAGTCGGTTCTGCAGTACATAAGGGGATCTAGCTTCTTGGCATCAGGTAAAAAATGACAGTATAACATAGGGAGAACAATTACATTGCAGACACACCACACTCTATACCAACTGCTGCTGGCACATAATGGCTGCATTTTGTCACCTATGTGGATGCTACACTGCAGTAGTGGATGAAATAGGTCCTAACTGTAATGTGATGTTTCTGGATGAAACGACTGTATAAATGCAAAAATGCAAAGTGTTATTATCCTTATTGGCCAATGAGCCTGTGGTGAAAAGTCGCATGACTGGGTGTTGCCACCAGGGGGAGCCATTCGCTAAGCAGGAGATTCATGGCAGAACAGCACTGAGAAGAGCACACTGGTCATGCCCTTAATCAATAACAGTGAACTGTGTGAACTGCACAATCAGGTCTTTAGCCTAATATCCTTCACATGATGTACTCTTCAGTTTAATGTCACCGTTTATACCCCCTCTCTCACCCATCGAGGTAGTGAGTGCACACACATTGAGTGATTAGTAACAGAACAGACACAAAATGAAAATGAAATGAAAACTTACGATGGATTTTATGTTCAACAAAAAGCTTTTTATCTGTTTGAAAGAAAAAACAATAAAATGAGACCAGTGGAAAAAAATCAGGCAATGAAGTTAAAACCAAATATGTAAGATGTTAAAAGAAAAAACAAGAAAAAAATGAAGTTTGCGATATTTTAATAAAAACATATTAATTACAATTTATTAGTTTAATGATCCGATAACTATCACACTGCTCAGCCTGGAGAACCTAAAGTGAAACTAATCCATGATTTCATTACGATTTGGACACTCTCCAGTTGTTATCTCATTAGATCAATTACAATGCAACAGAGCATCACTGGATCAGACAGACAATGTAATTTGGGAAGTAAAAGTAACATACTACTATGTAAAAGATGTGTGTAAAGTTTTGAGGGCAATTACTGCTTTATTCCTTGCTTCCTAGCTGTCTCGGAGCATTTGTGAACATCAGGAAGCCTGAAGTTCATTGACAGCATTAGCAACATCATTCACTTGCTAACAACAACCCCTAAACCGCAGTGCTGCCCCACTGCCGGCCCCCACCTGCCCAGAGGGGCATCACTCACTGTGCATGCAGAGCCCGTCGGTGCAGTTCTTGTTCTCCAGCAGCACGCCGCTGCAGTCGCGGCCCCCGTTACGCGGCGCGGGTGCCTGGCACTCCCGGCTGCGCCAGTGCGTGCACTCCGTGCTGCAGGCCGACCACTTTGTCCACTCGGTCCAGCCTCCATCCACTGCAAGACCCAGACAGAGGGCACTTCCTGTGAGCCGCCGTTTCTACAAAGCGCTCCGAGACGCGCGCGCCCACCTGCTGTACGGTGCCGCCGAGTGATTCCCCCCCCCCCCTAACCCCGCCAGCTCAAGGCGTGGCTGGGATGGTGGGGACGCAGTACCTGCACAGCGGGGTTGCACCGCTGGCAGCGGGGTACTAACCTGGGCACAGGGTGGTGCAGGAAATGCGATGGAAGGGGGCCCCGTCACAGAAGGCTCCCCCATTCAGGGGAGCGGGGTTGGTGCAGGTGCGCGTGCGCCTCTGCCAGCCCCTCCCGCACCGGGCGTTGCAGGGAGACCACTCCGTCCATGTTGACCAGCCCCCGTTCACTGGAAGGACAGACAGGCGTGGAGGCACTCAGAAACACAGGCCGGGCCAGACGGGCTTTCATCTCAGCGAAACACCATGATGTTGTTAAAGGTCTTTTAATAAACATGATATCAGACACACCGAGTCAGACGGGCAGACAGAGACTCAGACAGAGCGAGAGGGAGATGGAGAGAGGGAGCAGATATGTGGGTCTGTTGGCTGCAAGTTGCTCTCGGGAGTCATGCTGGCACCGGTTCTTACTTCAAAGCCTTGCTTTTTTAAAAAAGAAAGGTCTAGGTCTATCATCTGGTACTGTGAAGGAGGAATTGGGTCAGGATTGCTAGTTGTGGGGCCGATATTGAGTCAGGGGTATACAGCAATATGGTTTCAGCATCAGCAGGCCTATGGCCTTAGAGGGAAGGTCTGTAGGCATCCCTGAATAAAAATGGCAGAGCTGCACTGATCAGTAATGCGTGGGTTGGATAGCTACAGTGGTATCAGGTTTGATGGAGTGGAGTCCAGCCTACCATATACAACGACAGTGGCTGTGGTACTGCGGCGCTTGGCCACGACGTTGCGCGCCACACATGTATAATTGGCCGTATCGGACAGCCGCGCCTGCCTGATGATCAAGTTGTGATCGATAGTGATCAAGAAGTTAGAATCCATGGACGGATCAATAGGGTCCTCGTTCTTCAGCCACTCCACCTGCATGGAGACAGAGAGACACAGAAATGGCCAGGGTTGGGCCATAAAAATCCAAATAAACACGACCTTGTAACGTCCGTGCTGTTCTTGGCCTGGGTTCTCTCATGAACAGCTTTTAAAGTGAAAGAGGCAAAAAAAAAATTAAGGAAACATTATTTTAAGAAAGAAGGAATTAAAGGATAGCAAACAGTGTTGTAAGACCCAGGTCTCCTAATGTCCAGCTGATGCAGGGCCGTGCTCCCTACCAGGACCCTGTGGTCGCGTCCTGCTCTCTCAGCTCTCCTCCTGTCAGCAGGAAATACTCACTATTCATTTATTTAAACTCATTTAAACTAATTCAGCAAAAGGGCCCACTGAGCTGAGAGCACTTCTCACTGTGGCGCCTCTTTAAAATGCTGAAGGACAGTCTAATTACACACATCCTTAAAAACCTCCCCAAACAAACACACAAGCGTGGGCACACACAGACAATAGAATACTTTATTATCCAATAAAGGGAAATTGTGGGTACAACATGAAATGCGAAGCACTGGAGATCTTTAAAAAAACATTACATAACAGAATTATTTAAAACGTAGGAATGCCCCAAAGAGAAAGCTTTTCAAAAAGTTGGTTTTCTAAATGGTATTCCATTAAAAATGATCCTATGAAATGCTAAAGAATACTTAATAATAATGGCCACTGTTTATGGCTTTTTGAGAGGGTGGGGTGGTCTGGTTCACCTGAGTCATGCAAAATCACAAAATGTTTTATCTGAAATGGCCATTTTCAAACCACACTCTTGCTCTAGTGCAATCCCTAACTGCAAACACATTATATCATTCATAAAATTGTATTATACTTGTATCCTACATGACTACAAATAATCCAGCTAACATAAACCAGAAAACCAGATCTGATTGTCTCTAAGCCTTTCTAGTTTAGGGCAATATGCAGTCACAGGCTATCAGAGCATCCTATTCACCATTCCTTTAAAATGTGCATAAATGCAAACCAGAAGGCAATAAATACCAGCTACAAAATCCCTTTATCTTTCCATCCCCTAGTATATTTGGGTGCGTGCTCTCTGGAGTACAGCTCTCCATCTTTAAAGGGCACTGTGCCAGGTAATCTGTCTGCAGCAGAGGAAGGCATTTCTCTGTCATTATGCCTAATGCCTTTCTAATTAACTCACTCAGCCAGTCCTCACACCGAGACATACACACATACACATGCAACAACACGTAGACACTCTTCTACACTCATGCACACATGAACTCAGATACACACAATGACATGCACACACACACACAGTGCTTGACACTGCGACACAGCAGGACAGCAGCTCCTGTCCCAGCCTCTATTGATAAAGGGCGTGTCATTGAGCATGCAGTAAAATCGACGTATTGCCTTCGCAAGTGTGATACCAATTAACAAAATGAGGGACAAAACTGAGTCAGGTAACAAAGCAATCAGTCTTTCCTCTAGTGTAAAGTTATGGCAACATAACTAATTTCTTTGAGCAAGACACAGTCAAGTAATGATGTGGGGGCATTTAGAGTTTCACATGAAAGAGGGGGGGAAGAAACAAAAAGGTCAGCGGGGATTTTTAAAATCATACAGCAGAAGCCGCAAGGCTTCAACAAGTACCTCAGCGGCGGGAATGCCTTCTGGTGGGCGACACTGCAGTAGCACCTGGTCCTCCAGGGGCACCTCCTTCCCCAGCGGCTCCTGCTCGAAGTTCTTCCGCAGGTCTACAGGAGGCGACAGAGAGCAGGGCAAGGCAGGGAGAGAAAACGATGGAGCCTCAGTGAGGGAGGGAGTGAAGCAGACGCAGAGAACGTTTTTTACAGATAAAGAGAAGGGACAATAAAGCCATCTACACAACCACAGACAGCGGACTTCGGTGCTTTACTGTAATCTTTAGAATTGAGGAACTGTGTAAAATAGGCTTGCCACCAACTAAATCTATCGAGGAATTACCATTTTTTCCTATTGTAATTTTAACATGTTTCATTATAGTTTCTGGTCAATGAACACAGCATAATAGGGAGATAATTACTGAATGAATTCAACATAAACCGATTACTGCACATGAAATGGGAATCACTACTCTGTCTTCAGAATGAGGAAATCTCTTCTGAATGTGGGTGAAGGATTTCTCTGGTTGCCCACTGGAAAATACTCTTCAGCGAGGTGAAGGCAAACAGATCAATGCAATTGTAAAGATTAATTTGGTTTGTATGGCAATATTCATTGACTGACAGAGAGCAGAGCATAAACCATACCTGAAGGATTGTTCTGTGTCAAATATAGAAAAGATGGAGTCTGGAGATACAGAGTGGTAGGTCGATGCAGTTAAACATATAGTCAGCAACCAACAGACAGACTGTCAGACAGACTCACAGGCAATGCGCACATACGCCCGTGTGCTCTTGGTGGTGCCCGCAGAGCTCCAGGCCACACACTGGCACCAATAATCCTCCAGCCCAAACAGCTCCTCCACCTGCGTTCTGGACACAGAGATATCCACCTCTCTCACCACCAGCCCTGACAGAGAGGAAAGGCCACAGCAGAACAGACACTTTAACTCCAGAAAAAAAAGGACAGAATGCTACAGAATATTGAGCATGAGCAGGCACACAACAAGCCTGTTAAATCGAGAGGTTTCCTCTGTAATAGAACTATTGAAGGGTGCACAATGTTATCTGAGTATATACACTTATACAAAATAATTTACAATCTCTGGGCACAGTAAGTAGACATTTTAAAGCAACCTATGGATTTATACATTTAATAAACAAATTTGGAAAACAAAAGGTAAAAAAATGTCACCCTTCCATCTGCACCAGAATTTCTAAACCAATTACCAGTATGGTGACTGCGGACACTTTGCCCTTAAAAGGTGCTCTCCTTTGGATGAGGCCAAAGTGGTCAGTTATATAAAGGAACTGACCTCTTGGTCATTAAAGATCCCTGGTCTCCTGGCTAAAACGCACTCTGGGCCTGTAAAATCCAGTTTCCCTAAATTTCCTCTTAAATGCAACCAGTCAGGTGATTTCTCACTTTCTCTCCTGATGTGCTGTGTGGTGGGACTGGTGCTACGTGTCACCCTGGCTGATGGATGAAGAGGATCTCCTTCAAATATTTAAAGTGCTTTGAGATCCTTTGGAATGGAAAGTACTATATATATCGGTAATGATATACAGGCACTTTTCTCTTATTAAAGGTGTATTTACAGTGTTGGAGTAATCTGTTGCGTCGCAGTAATGACGGAGGGAGCCAGTGTCCGTACCTGTGATCTGGTCCAGGCTCTCGCGGGTCACGTGGTCGTTCTGGTTGACCCACTCGCCGTTGCACTTGAAGTAGATCTGTGTGGCAGGCGTGGCACGGCAGCGGAGGTCCACTGGCTTGTTTTTGACGATGTAGGCATCTTCTGGCTCCTGCTGGAACACCGGCAGAGGCTCTGCGGGGGCAGAGGGGAAGGAATCCGGCAGCACCTCGCTGTAATCACTACCTGGGAGACAGACAGATACATGGACGTTAAGACTACTCTGCAAATTCGATTCACAGGGTGCAACAGCCAGCGCGGCCACTGCTGCAAGCCAACCTAGGCCACTATTTCGAGCCTCGGATAATGTCACCTTCCGCACATCTCCAGCACAGCTCATGACTTTCTCTTAGCACAGACAGTACTTCCTTCTTCACATCTTTTCAGCAACACAATCATAGCATAAACCACACTTACGCAGGTCAGCTGTGCACTTAGCATAAACACATAAACAGGTTCAAAGAAAGGGCAAGAAACACTGTTGTTCATTAGTATCCACATGTTAGGACTGTCGCTACACATTGTGCTAATGGGTTCAAAAGAGAACCAGACAGAATCTTCACTATAGAAAAGAAATCAATTTGTTTTATTACGGTCCAGTAAAAGACAGAGGAATAGATTGTAAAGAACCATTTTTCTGTACCAGGAAAGTGTCTATATACCAATAAATGTGACCTGGAGGACACATGAGATAATTCAGTCACAACAGGACTGAAATGTCTTGCCATTTCAGAAAAGACCAACAAAGCATGGGCCCTGTCTTTGTAGTGAGCTTCTCAAATGGTTTTGGTGTTTGACCAACATCACCTAACCAAGAACAGTGCACTGTGCATTATACAGCTCACAAGAGATGCTGAGGAGTATTCACAGAGACAGACCAGCCTAGCTCTAGCCCCGCTTGTATTGCATTTTGATAAAGTTTTCCAAAGTCACTAGAGGATAAGAGCCTAGTGGCCTATCTTACATTAGATGAGACTCAGCTCACCACTGGAAAAATGGAAAAACTGTGAGGAGTGTTTGTCTACTGCTCATTCCACTCCTCTGTCTCTGAGATTCCCCAAAACTATTGACCTAACCAGGCACCGCTGTCAGGAAGTCCTTCCATCTGTTGACATCACTGCTGAGTTTCTGCAAACATCTAAGCTCAACATTGCACTGAGAATGCAGGCATAGTAATGAGAGATATGAGTATGTGAAATTGTGTGCTCACACTAAGAGATTTCTTACTGACTGTGTGTATACAATGTGTGTATAGAGGCCTGTGTAAGGGAGAGCTGTGGATAACGCAGAAGAAACATCAAAGCCCGAGCAATGCGAGAAAAGATCGAGACTAGGTGTGACTACATATACAACGGGCTCAAAGGCAGGTGATGACATGACCACAGTAAAAGCAGAGATAGTGAAGTCAACAGGATACAGACAGCCAGGCTGCACAAAAGCTCAAAGTGACCCTGGCAGGGAGCAAACAAAGAGCCTACAGTAATGTTGTCAGGGAGTGAACTCAGCCACAGCAGTGCCAGGGGCTACCGTCGCACAGTGTTGTGGGCAAACTACTGTGTTGTTCTGTGTAATATCAGATCTGTTTGCTTGGTCTGCACCATATTTCTCTCTATTACACACTTTTTTATAGGGTTTTATAGTGCCAGTGCACTTGCATCCAGCTGATCTTTATACTTACAGAATATCTACATGTGTGATTGACCTGCAGTTTTAAAGCACAGAGCATACAATCCTAAAAGGTTAAGCAGACAGAGTAGAGCAGAGGAGTTTATTGTCATATGTACATGTACATTGGAATTCTTATTTGCATTGATCTCACGGGACATACACAGCACAATAGACAACACCACAGCATGTAGACTATACATTACAAACATAATAAACAATAACACGCTAATAAACACACTTCTCGTGTGTAGCTCTCTCTCAGACAGTATTTTGTTACTCCATAACAATCTCCTCTATCACTTGACAGAGTTGGGGATCCGGGGGCACCATGGACAGCACATATAGATACACAGAGGAATGACGAATGACCAGACTCAATGGCCACAGCTCATAGCGATCCAACCCACAGTCTGTAGAGGGTGGTGAAAAACTAAATACAATTTGGAAGAAGTTCAGTTTTCAGTGGTTATGGAATTTCTTCTTATATGACCAGACAACAACAGCAGATATTTCCTCAGTGTGTTTTTGCCTTGCATCTTATTTTAAGTGAAAGATTCCTTCAGGGGATTGTGTTGAGTGCTTGCATTGACTACTAAGCTTGTTGCAGTCTACAAGGAAAATGCATTTGTTAGTTGGCTGTGCTAAAGAAATATTAATTACAGCTTATTATGCCAAACGACTTTTAATTTACTGACTTGGTGAAGCTGAATAACCCAATCAGCCCTAGCTTCCTGAACTGTGCTTTCGATGCAGGCTAATTTCAGACAAACACTGGAGCGCAGCCCTAATGAGCTAACAAGATTACAGGCTTCTGCCCCTAGAAAAAAAAAATGAAACAGACTGCACAAACACAGTTTAACTCTGAACATGCTACGGCACTCTCCTGAAGACTGCACTTCTACCCACAGGGTTGGAGGTCCAGTTGCACAGACCGGGAGCAGTGCATGGCTTCAACGCCACATCACGCCCGCACCGAAGTGTCAGACTCAATTTAGTTCACTCCTGCACATTCAGTTTCTAAAAGACAGACATGAGAAAGCAGATTTGCTTGCATGAGAAAGGTCACTGGGAGCGAAGACTGGCTTCCTAAACACAGAACACCATGCATGTCTGTCACAGCAGCTCAGCCTCTTCCATAGCAGAATCCAAACACAATGACTCCCGGTCTCACGCAGCACATTTCATTTAGGATGAATGCCAGGTAACAATGGAGAGGTTCCTGCCAGTTGGGATTACACCCTTTTTTTCTTTCCTACATATCTCTGAAGAATTGCAGTGGCACAGGAGAATATTTTTGCCACATAAATTACAGGCTGCATTCACAGTCACTTATTCCCCTCTTCCGGTTTGCCTCATCTCTGTTCCTCCAGAAGCTTGTGAAATCACAGCAGGATGGCTGAAGATGTTGGTGCCTGCTTTGCAAAAGGTATTTCACCGCAGATGCTATTGCATGCACTACAACTATACTCGAAAGCCATTGTTGAGCAGTAAGCCTAGAGCCACTCTCCATTCTTCCTTGGGCTGCTCTGTCACATGATTGGTAGATCCCTGCAGCCCAGCACAGCACTCAGCTGTATAGCACAACTTTTGAATGAAAAATACAGATTGCCCCTTGTGTCAGTAAGCAATTGCATTTCTATTTTTACTGGATGCTATTAATTCTAACACAGACAGCAGGGCTAGACAGCAGAGAGAAGGAGAGGGAGAAGTATTGAGAGGCTATGCTGGAAGCAAGCACTGTACATTCACACAACTGTTGAATCCTGTACAGAGCAAAACATTAACGCGGATGTCAAAAGATCTTAAGCAAAAGCTACAAAATATTCTCAAATACATACTACTGAAGACTTTAGAATGAAAACAGAGAGCTTGAACAATAAGTAAGCATTTGCAAAACAGGAAAAAACAGATTGCTGGTTTTATTGGAAACTTTGTTTCCTCTAGATGTACACATCTACCAGACCTCACCAGCCAGCAATTTTCCCTGGAATGCCTGCTCTTATAGAGTGCTCTAAGAGCTTTTATTTTCAAGTCTTTTATTACAATAATGACAGGCAGGCTGGGAGGCTCTACTGTTATTTTCTTGTTTTCTTTCCTTCATAAAAAGAAGCCAAACTTGAGAGAGGGATAATGACAGGTTCCACACGGCAGCCAGGGAACAGGATCCTTACTGTCCCTGAGTACTGCGCCAGCTCAGCAGCTTCACACTTCTAAAAAGGAAACAAAGGAAGATGAGACAACCAGGATACAAGAGAAAGATGGACTGAAAACCTGTCTTCCCAATGTGTAAGAAGAGTATATTTGACACCAGTTAAGGGTTTGCTGTTTTCTCATGGTATTATACTGCGAGCAGCTCTTTTCTAGGTTACAGCAATGCACAATAAAAACGCAAAGCTGAGTGTTAGCAGACAAAAGGTCTCCGGCTCCATACTGATTTCTAACATTCCTGGTGTCCTCGTTCCCGCTCCTCACAGGCTCCCAGCTCAGATCCACACACACACTCGGCCCAGGGAGTCTCCAGTCATCTACCGAGCCTGATCCTCTCCAGCCTGTCATTACCTCACCCAGAGACTCAGCCTTTCATTACCACTCCCCCCTCAAAAGCTGCATGCCTGTCTAAAGTTAGTTTTTGAGTTAATTGAAAAGTGTTACTCAGGAAATAAGAGAGCAAAGCACGAAAATCCAGATGACAGAGAGGCAACAGGCAAAGTGGATAATGACAGACCAGGCTGCACTGAGGCTGTGGAGATAATGAACAGCAAAGGTGTCTTCATGGATTCTACGTGCACGACACATACATACACTGCAGCGTGCACAAACATACTGTATCTAGCTACTGCATACAAACATAGAAACTAGTTATAGAATGCATTTAATTTTTCATGTTACTTACATGACAAAGGTAATGACTATATGGGCCTTCAATCAACGCATCCTATAATATCTTCATAATGAACCTACATCATGCGCAAAAGCCCTATGTATAATAGTCATTCAAGACTTCCTGTGATGCACAGGGGTACATATCCTGAATTGAATTCCTAAAAGGAAATGAGCGTGAACATAGCAGAAAGGCACAAAACAATCCCAAAGATGACCTTTTTGGCTTGAAAAGACAGCTAGCTATCAGTATTAAGGCCTGTACAATTATTGGTCATCAGGCATAAGAACAAACATTATTTCTAGATCAATTCCTGACTCATTTCCAATTACTGGGCTGAGCATGCAAAGCAAACGGCTCCATTGAAGTTGAGAGGACAGGCCTCAGGCAGCAGCAACTACACATACAGTAGGACACATTTACTTAAATAAAATAAGACTATGAATCTGAACTTTCCCTTGGTCTCCAATTAAGATAACTCACATTTTCTCCTTGGTGCTAGGTAGTGCTGTCATAAGCTAAAGGGCAGCAGTGATGCCAGATAACATTTTCTGCACTGGTATACATCTCTCATGGATGCATAGATCTATGATGTACAGTACATAGATCTCTCATAGCACAGATCAGACCCAACTTT